CTGAAAGGTACAAATATATTAGCTTGTCCTGTATAAAAATGTCCACCATTGTCTGAAGTCAATGTATTGATGAATATTTGAAATTGACCAGGAAAGCACGTGCTACATTGTGATATGACAAAATATTCTATTCATTGTCAGTTGCGCAATAAATGTACTCTTCTAAACCAAACCTTGTACGTAAATTTACGTAACGTAAATTTACGAAGAACATTTACGTAATGAGTATTGCTTAACGTCAGTGCGTGCATGCGATTTAATCTAATTAAATGAAGAGTATGAATATAAATACCAGCGTATAAACAGCAACATTCACATGAAAACCTGCTCGTTATGGCTTCTAACAGAAGAACACATCAAGCTACTATTTATCTCATCACATATAGTAGAGCAGACCTGAAGATCGTACCAGATAGACAAAGTTTTGCTGATTTATATTAGACTACAAAGGACTTGTCACTAACAATCCCTGATCAATACTCACCGACATTACTCACCAGTTACTGCTTATATTTTATTCTTAGAACGTAAGTGATACACGAAATATCATAGATTTTATTACAGAGAATCAATGTCCAAGTGTCCAAGTATGGACAGTATTTATGCTTTTATAGCCGATATATCATCATTACTCACTGGTAGTGTGTTAAAGTTATAAAACTATCCTGGTTATTGAAGGCAATGATAGTGGGTAATGATAGTTATTCACAACTAAACTGTTATTTGTAGTGCATTTACTCTTGTGGTGTTTTTAAACGTTAAGCAGTACTCCTACATGAATTAAAGCTTATCTTCAGCGCAATATTTACTATRTAAATGGCCATTTTGTACTTGAGTATTGTTTGTACATGACGCCTGTCACGCGTTATTATACTCAAAAAGCAATCTGCATTGGCCGCTGCCATGTATGACACAAAGAAAGTTACARCAATTACCGTTTCAGAGCAAAAATGACTGTTAAAAAATTACCACGCATCGAAAATATAATATTATAAACGTTCTGACAGCTTTCTCTTGCGACCACGACGTTTCGTTTCTGCGGTTTCGGGTATAAAATTCTCACTTTATCCTTTACAAAACGATGTGCAGATGTCTTCGAGATATTATACTTCTTGCCTATGCTGCAGAAAGTCCTGTGATGGTATTCTCTTTCTAGTATAGCTGCACATTTACGCGCATTATTGATGCGTCTAACCATGCTTGCAGTGAAAATTTTCATAATTATCATTATGACGTCATCGCTTAATTACCGCGAGCAGTTATCTAGCGTTATTTATCGAATTGCGTGACATACAAGTRATACTTTTGAGTTATATGATTTTCATTCATTTTCAAATTCAGACAATGAGAGACATTTCTAATGGGACAACACGATTATTTTGAGCAATTTACATAATTTTCCTGTTTCCCTCCCCCCCCCCCAACCCCCCTGCCCCCCTATTCAATGTTGGAAGATGCCCATGTCCAATACCCATTCAAAAATTGATCTCACGTGAAACCAACATTGAATGAGGGGGGGTTTGGGGGGGGGGAGGTTTACAATATATTCTCTGAAAGGTACAAATATATTAGCTTGTCCCGTATAAAAATGTCCACCATTGTACATTACTTTAATTCAAGCTTGTCAAAGTTCCATAAATGACAAAGTACCTTTGCAAGCCTCATTTGCTGCCCTCTGTGAGAAGATACCAATTACGTGAACTCTTTTCAAAGTTCATCAAACACTGCTGCAAGCAGTCCAAGCTCTTTAATTTCTGGGACAAGTACCTTGAAGCAGTGATGGTCTTACTTCGATTCATCCGCGCAGAGCGAGAGGGTTCTTGGAGTCTACATCTCACCTCAGTAGCAGAAATGGCTCCATATTTTTTGCCATGGACCGAATTAACTATTCAAGGTAAATATAATGTTTGGCACACAGTATGACTGTTATTGTATTCACTGAATTTGCATTGATTTTATTTYAAGATGGCTACTTGCCGATATGCAGCTGCTGCCTACAAGTGCCCCAGAGGTATATAAAGAATTCTGTAACGGCGACCATGTCATTGATAGATATAGTCAACCCTTTGGTCAAGTGTGGACTGATATGGCACTCGAACAGAGGATAAATCTTGACAGCAAATCTTCTGGTGGTATAGTTRGCATCACCCAGAATGCTTCTGCTCTCGAAAGATGGTTCCTTACTAGTCATGAACGTGCAGCGATAACTTCTGCTACGAAGAATATGTGTCAACTCGATGATACCAGCAGAGTTGGTGGTCACAAAGAGTCAAGCAACCAAAGAATTGATCGAGATGAGTCAGACATACAGAGGCTTATCTGCACTATAAAGACGACGATGTCAAATCCGTTTGAGCTTACCGAATGTTCACCAGAAGATCCAATCCCTCTAAGGAWCATTGCGACTGGTACAGTCATGCCTGATGAATCTGCTGATCGCTTAATTGGTTCCTTTTRCAYGGGAAGCCAAGMMCTAAAGGAKTTCACARMAAATCGATTGCAGAAAGCAAGCRCCTCCTTTTGGGACACAATAAAWAAGCTGAAAAWTCCAACGTTCGCATCYCTCTCMGAAATAGSAAMAGTAAAGAGCAAAGACAACAAGATCATGACCATTGCAGCTGACCGCAGCTTGTTTGGAAGACTTCTTGTTGCAGCTAGATATCGCGATGTCAACCTGAKAGATGTGTTTAAGCACGAGCTTTCTTCAGTACCCTTTTCTTTGGCTTACGCAGATGGCTCACTGAGAAAAACAACGAAAAGCGATCTCCTTGAAGACCTTGAAAAAATCAGTCCTGCAGTAGGTATTATTATTATTATTATTTCTTACGCAGATGGTTCACTGAGAAAAACAACTAAAAGAGATCTCCTTGAAGACCTTGAAAAAATCAGTCCTGCAGTAGGTCGCCTTAACGAGAGCCAGCAACAGACAGCTTGTATCCTAGATGGCATGGCGATGATCCAAATGCTAAGATCTGGAGGTTGCCGCAYATTTGGAGAGCTCGCCGAAAAACATTACCGCATAATTTCAAGCAATTTCAACTGTACCTGCACCAGAGTGGATATTGTCTTCGACAGATACGATGTTAGACCTTCGATAAAAGATGGCGAAAGAGTGAAACGTGGTGCAAGCAATGCTTTAGAAATAAAGATCAGCAATAAAGGCACACCAATACCAAAACAATGGTTGAAATACATCTCGAATGTGCAGAATAAGATCAATCTTACTCGCTTTCTTTGTCAAGAGTGGATCACTATCGGTCACAAGGAGCTCCATCCAAGTCAACAGCTCGTTATTGCTGGAGGATTATACGACCCACAAGAAGCCTTACTGCTATCATCCCAGACAACAAGACCTCTTCCTGACTTACTATCAAATCACGAATAAGCTGACACGAAAATGATACTCCATGCCTATCACGCCTCCTCTACTAAGAAGCGCATAATTTTGCAATCACCAGACACAGACGTGGCAGTACTTGCTATTCATAAAGCCAAAGAAATACAGTGTCAAGAGTTCTGGATCAAAACTGGAACTAAAGATTAAGTCCGCTTTATTCCCATTCACCTGATAGCAGACAAGCTTTGAAACAGCATCTGTGAAGCTCTACATGGGTTTCACGCCCTCACTGGTTGTGATTCTACAAGTGGGTTCTTTGGGATCGGCAAAAAAAAGGCATGGAAAATATTTTCCAAAGATGATGACGCACAAGATAGGGTCAGCAACTTGGGGACAATACTTCCTCCAACGCAACGTTGTAAAAGCGATTGTTAAAAATTCACATGCTCTTTGTACTCACAATCACCAAAAGCAGGAACAACAGCTGATGAACTTCGATACTGGATGTTCTGTCAAAAGCTTCAAAAGAGTGAAACCTTACCTCCTACATCCAACAGTCTTCAGCATCATTTTGAAAGATCAAACTACCAGGTCTATGTATGGAAACGATCTACGACAGCATGCCTACAGATACCGTCTCCAATAAACAATGTCTGGACCTCTTCACTCACGAAGTTTCAATAAAATCTTAACCTAATTCGAATGTACATCATTTTGCTCAAACAACTCGAAATTTTTAACTCGGAGATTGCGTCAGCAATCGTAGAGTTGTTGGGATGGGACAGCTGTCACTCGCTCGCTCGCTCGATCACTTTCCTGTAAACTTGAGCCTGCGATGTTTTTGTTAGCGGTTATTTATAGTTGGTCTCCCTGTGCTTTTTGATTAATTATTATTTATAATATTTATATATTCACTTAATTTGGTTACTATAGTAACTTCTATAATATTTTTGCTGCGAWATAWATGTCATGTTCCCACCAGGTTTCGAACCCGCGACCTCTGAATTGTACGCCAAGCGCCTTAACCGATTGTGCCACGGTGACACTTTGAGAAAACATGACGTGTTTTAGTAGTTTTATAGGGAGCACCGCTGTTCGAGTCCGGCTTGAGACAGGACATTTTTTTCTTTTTTTCTTTTTGATGTTTTGGAGATTCTCTTTTCTTTTTTTTTTCTTTTTCTCCTTTTTCTAATAATAACAAACATGTTTCTGCATAAAGTTTTTTTTTTTAAGAAATTCTTTCAATTTTTGCGATCGGTAAAAAAAATATTAGGTTCACCATGATGGGTTTCCTGTGTTATATGCTGTGGATTCAATCGATATTTGTCGGAAACAACTGACCCATCRCACTAACTTAAACCTGGATTCAAGAGGAGAAAAAATTGTAAAAATTATGTTGTTTGACGTAGAATTGTACCGATTGCAATAAGTTTTGACTGGGTTTTCGCTTCGAGTACGTGTCAACATGGCGTCTCTGCTAAAAGTAGCTTTCACGGCCTTATAAGCTTAAATATACTTCAAGCAAATGGACGGTTTCTATTCCGCTTTAGACTTCAAGGTAAGATAATAATGTACAAAGCTTAGCAATGACATACTTAAATCTTAAGTTTATCATATGAATTACAAATCAAACTTTTTAGGCTGTGTCAACCTGACCGTGAGTATTCATTGTTTTCAAATAATTAGCTTACGCACCGAGACAACAAGGGGCCAGTTTGCTGCGCATGCGCAAAATTTTTGAGTCGACCGTGGCTCAGTGTGTGTTCGCAAGCGAAATGACCATTTTATTTACTTCAGAAAGTCAAGTTTTCTTTTCTCTTCAAAGCTGATCGAAGCTCAGACGTAAACCTAAGTCTTATTAAATGTTCTTAGAACGTTCTATGTCAATATCAACTTCAATAAGATTCGATAATTTCAAAGTAAAAGGGGAGCACAAGCTGACATAGGAAGACAAATCATGGCGACTGTTGTTGTAATGGGGATGATTTGTGCTTGGATTTCGCTCAAAAATGACGGCCATCTGCAACCAAATTTCTAACCAAGGTAAGTTAATGGGTTTTGTGAGTTTTTTGAGCCATGTTGTTTAGAAATCTAGCCCAGTGGTTTACGAGAATATTCGTTTATTTCCAACGTCATAATCGGCGTCAATTGCTTTTCTGGCATTTTCACATGGAAATACTTCTTAATCTTGTCCGGGACTCACTCGGTTATGATCAGAAATAGTAAACTTTATACGTGTAAATTCAGTTTATATGGGTATAATCAATTGAATAAATGTGGAACATAAAGTTTTTGCCCAACAATTCGATGTTGTATTTTTTCATAATAATCTTTGCTTGGCCAAAACCGATTTAACTAAGAACTTATTATTGCCTATAAAAACTTAAATCTATTAACTATGACCTGTATTAATGCATACACTTTACTTCACGGAAATCGGACATGTTTTTGGAAAGTTATCGAACTCCACATTTAGCAAAATAATTGTTGTCTCAAGAATGAACTATTTTATATAATTATATAATTTTTGTGCCGTGACTCACAGCAATTTCACTTGATAGAATGCTCTTATTATATGTATATTCTGTTCAATATGTTAGACTGGCTGGAAAAAATGTGGAAAATAGTTTTATTTGATTTTTTATTTACAAAATGTATGCTAATTTATACACTTCAAACTTAAATAGGAGCTGTAGTTGCCCTAAAGAATTGTCTGTTGATATTTTTACTTAAATTGAAAGTAGAATTATTCATTTACAATGTATGGCTGATGTTTATTGAAAAAAATAAGATTGTAACTTAACTTTAAAAAGTTATAATCTCTACAAAACACTACAAATGAGTAACCAAAACCATGTTGTAAAGCAAGCAAAGTCATGACAATTGTTAACCCAGAATTATGAACTAAAACATTTGGTTTGCTTTTACAGTATTTACAATCAAAGGGTTATCATCTGGGTTAATAGCAGGTAAGAACAAACCATAAATAACATTAATATTGTATCTTGAAAGTTAAATAAATTACAATTTTGATTTTGCATCCAAATGACTGTGCTCCATTGTTTAAGTGCAATGCAACTCCTCATAAAGGGCTGCTTCTGTGAGTGCAATACAATCCCTTCATTTTGAATGACTTTTTGATTGATTATAATAATAATAATAATAATGTAAAGCTACAATAGTTTCAACAATGATAAAAGATATCAAAATAAATAATGATATTGCTTAAAGAGCACTGTGGGTTGCACTTTAGACAATGCAGATGCGGTACTCAGCTTATTGAGTATATTTACTTCTTATGACTGCAAGATTACTTCCAGCAATTCCAGTTCCCCAATCACGATTACACATGTAAGATAAAAACAAAACCAACTTATCAACATTCTGATAACTTGCAACAGCAATTAATCCACCATTGTTTCCACGGGGGTGGCTTTCAAAGAGTGCAATTTTTTGTTCATCTCTACTGAAACACAACAGCATTGATTTATCAGGTGGTGTTATCATTATTATGCATTGGTCTTGAGGATGGGAGCACAAACCATTCAGCTTATTGGTGAGACATTCTTGTGAGAAAATCCCAGTGTCCTCAATGATTTGAAGGCCAAACTGGTCAGATCTTGTTTCGAGTGCTTCTGAGGCAGTTAAATTTGGCTGAGTTGGTGGAAGGTTTAGTGTGTTGTATAGAGCAATGCCCTCTCTCATAGAGTTAGCAAAAGTTGCTACACATCTTAGAATTCTTGAAGGTGATGGTATTAGAAGATCACCGGTATTAAGAAATTTCATTGCACCTATGGCAGCAATAACTGTGCAAGCATTGCTGCCCAGGGGTAATCCAAACACTGTTGTCTGTGAAAGGTAGTATGGTAAAATCCATTCTTGGATGCTTTCTAAGATGACATTGCATTGAATGCTACTTGTCAGTGAAACATGCTGTTGAGATTGGTGACCCTGCACTGCAGTTGGTTGTGGTGAGTTAACTGAACCTGTGCATAAACCTCCTTGGCATGCTGGACACGCAACAGGCCCATTTTTTGCATTTGTGTGTCCTTTCCTTGGATGATGACAGTTTTTACATTTTGGTACTCGCTTTGAGGACTGAAGCGGTACTGTTTGCTGGTGATGCTCTTGTGAAGGGGATTCTGATGTCCTTTGAGAGGATGAGGATGTCAGCATTACTGGCGGTGCTTGTGGTGATGGTAAAGCACATATCACATCATTTACTGATTTAATCTGTTTGTCAACATCTTCATTGTCACTAGACTGTGTTACTGGTATGTCAGATGCAGTGTCTTCATCTTCCTCTGCTCCATCTGTATCACTGCTTTGGGAATACAAGGGCTCATTGTTCTCTTTAGGGTGTAGAATAGCATTCTGTGCTATTTTTGCCAGGCTCTGTGCTTTATCAGCTAGGAATTGTTGGCATAACGGGCAGAAGCTAGCATCTAAGAGACATGTATTGTGAAAAGAGTGTGAACAACCTTCAAACAATGTCCATGGCTCATTTCTTGTGACTTTGCAGACTTGTAAATCACACCGTTTTTCCTGGTTGGCCATTGTAGAACAACAGTAACCCAGTGGTAGGACTTTAATTTTCATTTTTTCATTCCCAAAGACACGGGGTAAGAGAACTTTTTTCTTTTTGCCTTCCTCAATGAAACTAGCTTTCCCAGGATGCTTTGCTATCTGAGAAAACATACTGGTAAGTATCACTGCACATTTTGCTTTAATGGTTCTAAGGTTGTTTAAAGCATGGTTTTGCTTCTTGGACGGCGTAAAGTTATCTTTAAAGTTCTTTTGTGTCCTCTTCGATTGAAATATAGCCTTTGCCTTTTTCTCCAGTTTCTCTGCAGTATCATTTGTATTAGTTTTGGATCTTATTATGCTGTGAGCATTTTCTACTGGGTACTCGTCAAATATAGCTAAAGACTGCCTGAGGAGATTATACATACCAGGGTGATAAATTCCCCAGTATGTACACATGGCTAGCCATACAAGTGGTGCCTTGTTGTAGTGGTGCCTTTCAAGGCACACAAACATAGTCCATATTCTTATGATTCCGTTGAAGTATTCATTAAAATTGTTCAGTTTAAAGGTTACACTGTATATAGTTAGAATCAGAGGTAAATAGTTATCAAGTAAGTTCAGAAGTGTTCTGTATTCAAGGTCTTTGCAGATGGAGAATTTATCTTTTATGGTATCCCTTATAAAAAGCCAACCACCATAAGTAACTTCAAGTATAAGACTGATTCGCCAAGGTTTTGGTTTTTTAGCAAGTTTGCTTCTTGGAAAGATTTGAGTATATACAGTTTCAAAAAAAGGACGGAAATTGTTGAATACTGTTTCTCTAGCATTTAATGAGATGTGTAGTGGTCCTATACAAGGTATTACAGATAGGATTTTTGGCTGATTACTTGTTGACAGGTGCTGCTTTTTTCTTGTAGATTCACAGTCGAAGTTCACAGTGGAGTATGAATGGTCAGAAGGAGATGGAGGAACTGTATTGGTTGGAACATCTGATGTTGCGCATGCATGGAATTTCAATAGACTATCATAGACAATTTGGCGGGAGTAAAATTGGGCTGGCCAGTCACCTGGCTGTGGAGTGAGATACAATTTCATGTAATCAGACAGTTTGGTATTTAGGATAGCATCAAATGCAGCTTCAAAGTCGCCCTTACTTTTAAGAGTGAGCTCAAAAAAGTTAACCAGGTGTACATCATCCATTTGTCTCATATTTTTGACAGATTCATGGTCACAGTATTGATGGGTAGTAACTCTGTATCTTTCAAAATCTGGTGTAAAAAATGAATCTTTAATCCAGGTAGGCATTACAGAAGAGTAAGTTTGAGCTAATTTAATCATAGTAGGTAGGCCAGAAACAGTTTTTATGCAGGAAGCTATGTCGATAGCACAAGGGTTGTGGTAGGCTGTAGCTGGACAGGCAGGCACGGCTTGGACATTCTTAAACACTTTCATGATGATTGTACACATATATTTAGGGTTAGATAGAGTTTCAGTTTTGGGACGCCTGATTGAATGTATAGAAGTGTAGTCATCAATGACAAGTACTACTTGCCATTTATTTGAGATTGCTTGTTCAACAATGTTGTTAATTTCCTTTGCTGCACTTTGGTACATTGCCAATATCATATCATTTGTCTTTGTTTTAGAGCAAGAATTCCCCATCACTCTCTGGGTGATTAGTGCTTCCTTGTTAACATTCGAATTCTTTAAAAATACAGCGTGATCAGTCTGGAGCCAGTTGCACAGTTGACTTAGGCCATAGCACAACTTATAAAGAATGACGACAGTTCTTTTCTTGTTAAATGCTATCCTCTCAGAGGAGTGTCTTTCATCAGTCATTGCAGATAGAATGGAATTGAATATTTTGTGGGCCCCAACTCTATCACAGAATTTCTCGAACTCCACTGCATCATAAATGGGCGGCTTAGCTGATATCGTGAATTCTTGGTACATCGCGTCCTTTAAACTTTTTAATTCCTTAGAAAGATCGCATCCTACAAGAAAAGGAATGGGTCAACACATATAGGTGGCGGAGGTGTTTGGTGCCCCCTTTTGCCCTTTCCCGGTACAGGTCTTTTCACTGTTTGTATTAAATGTTCTAAAAACGTTACGACACGCAAAAACGTTACTTACGCCTAGAAAGTAGTTTCATTTCCTCTTCTATTTCTTCAAACAGGCCAGGGGGAAATAGTGTTCGGCCACACGGTCCGCGTAGGATTTCTCCGAAACAAGTATCTACAGCCGTCCATGATGATATTGATAGAACGTTTTCTACGGCCTCTTCCTCTCTGACTGCTGGAGCCGTTTTCGCAGGTGGTGCCGGTTTTAGGTGTGTCCCCTTCCCTTTGCGTTCGCATGTATCCATTCGCTGCCGGAATCGAATATGAAGTTTTGTTATTTTTAAAATGTTTACATTATATGTAAATATCCGCTTCAATTTTAATAAAATTTACTTACATGTATAACGGTGTTGTTGGATTTACGAGACTTTGACATGGCTTTACTACACGCACAACAAAGGCGAGCATCCTGACCTATTTCACGGGTGCTAATGTGCAACTTTAATTCTTTAACGTATTTCACTGCAGGTCTGCTGTATTTTTTTTGAGAATCCCTAATTCTCTTTTGGCACAGAACACACCGCAACGAATTTCCAGCGCAATCCGCAAGTACGAAAAGAGCGAAAATTAAAAGAAGAAAAATTACGCGATTCATGTTGTTGCAAATTGTTGTAGTGGTAGCCCTGTGGTGAGCCGGCGATGCGATTTCTCGGCTCAGCAGCTGGCGCATGGTCATGCAAAACGGCCCCTTGTTCACCGAGACTAAATCATTAATTTCATCGCTAAACCCAACCCAAACCTTACCCTAAACCTAASCWAGAGCTAACMAARBACTTTTGTTCAGTAATTCTGTATTTTTTTTTCGCAAACGGACATTTTGACTTCCACTATTTACACAGCAGCCGGGCATGTAAGTTGAGACAGACACTTCGAACTTTATGTCGCCGTTGTTTAAAATTTACATGTAACTAAGCTGAAGCTTTTCCTTTTATAAATTTCGATGTCTCTCTGAACTAATAAGCTTATATTTTTATCAATAAACCTTAATCCGCTTAACAGTGATTGGAAGAAAAGCACTGGAATAATTCTGCAAAACTGCAAGTCAAGAGCATAAAGAATAATCAAAAGAACAATGTGGATTTCATACTTCAACAAAGGAGCTCAAAACAAAGTTATGATATACCAATTCACTTGTTCTTTCAATACATGAAGACATTAGCTACTCAAATTTTTCACTAATAACTTATCTTGTTAGTTAATACTATTTTTTTAATCCAATTTAAATGTTGAATTGGGGCGGTTGAATTGCATTTTTCCCAATATTGTTCTGATCTTATTGTTCTGATTTTTTATGATCACCTATTTACATGTTTTTGTAAATAACTTATCTAATGTGTTAATAAAATGCTCAAAATACAGCTGACCATCTTGCAAAAGCAGCTCTTACAATCTCCGAGTTATGTTGCCATTGGCAGCTTGATAGGTTAAGATTTTATTGAAACTTCGTCAGTATATCAATTATGTTATTAAGAAATGCCATGCACTGAAGCATCCGATGCATGAATGACGAATGCTGTGAAAACCCATTTAAAATTAGCACTTTAGATGACACAACAGAAATTGACCAATAGATATAATAAGCATATTATATTCCTTACAGCCTTTTGCACAAATTATGAGACATTTTTATATATATAAATATACCTAACCAAATATCAAAAACACCCCAGAAATTATGGTATATCTCTATTATATTTTGTCATGATTGCCTAGCATCAGGTTGTTACAGACAAAATATCAGCGACGGTATCCCATAATTTCTTGGGTGTTTTTGATATTTGGTTAGGTATATTTATATATATAAAAATGTCTCATAATTTGTGCAAAAGGCTGTGTAAACACTAATGATTGTAAATATGTATATATCAATACTGCAATTGATTGATATTTCAATGTATATAATCCGAATTTTCTAAGTGATTGCAAATAACAATGACCATGACCTAGCACTAAAATCTTTTTTCACGTAGAGAATAAGGGTCATATATTCATATCCCTTTTAATCATAGAAATTCGTTTCCATGGTAACGACAGCAATGTGAAAATGTCACTCAATGGTATRCCTCAACAATAACTATTATATAGTACACACTTTATAACACAAAAGTGAAGTGCACGGTCCTGCCAGTAGTTTTGTTCTTATAGAGAACAAGTAATATTTCCATGCTAGAAGGCAGATATCCGTAGATTGCAAGTGAAATGTATTTGTAAAATATCACGAATATGTGTTGTATTCAATCAAAGATGTCGGTGGTGGGTCTGCATGTCCAAGTTATTTGACACTTAATGAAAATGTTTTGAAAACATTTTTTTGAAGAAAAAAAAATGCAATTGTACCAAATATCCATAGCAACTTCAAACCTATCAATAACATAGTAAAATAAAATTTTGTTTCATAAGAAACATTCTGTAAGAGTTTGAGTTAATTTCATTGGTTTTTCAGTTTGRTATGCTCATTTCTTTAATTTGGTTCTAAATGGGGCATTATTTTTTGGGGGGGGGGGTACATAATGGCACTTACAAAATAGGCCCAAACACAATATAGGGCCACCGATACTTTAGTACATCGTGTCTAAAAATTATCGACAAGGACCCTATTTTTATGCTATCGCCTTGTAAGTGCGTCTGTGTGTATGAATGTAATTTTAGAGCGGATTTCGTATGACTGTGCAAAAAACACGACACTGTCGTGCCGTGCCGTGACGGTGATATTTTACCAATAGTTTTCTTAGATATTATTCCATTATGACTGTACGTGCCGTGACGGTGCCGTGTCGAAAATTGCACTGTCCGTGATTCCTGATTTTGATTGGCTGATCGAAGGTTTCTAGCATCCTGATTGGCCGAAAATCATTGTGGAACGAAGGCTTCGTGCGGTGTTGTTGTCGTGCAAACTCAAAGACCTAAAGAACTTTATATACGCTCGTTTTCATTCCATCTATCTCTCCTGAAAGTAACTGTTTSATTTCTGTGCTGAATAATGGCGTGGCGATTGAACGAAAAAGGAGGATTTTACAAGCAAGGAGGCCAAACCTCGTTTCAAAAGCGGCATGAAATTCTGTCGAATTTTCTTGCGACTGGAAATATCACTAAAACAGCAGAAAAATGCCTTTGCTCTTACAATTTAGTGAAAAAAATAGTTCAGAAATTTCAAAACTTTGGATTTTGTGAGCCAGGAAATCGGGGTAAACCCGCAGGAAAGTTGGATGCTTGGAAACGAGCGTATGTTGAAGTTCTAGTGACATTAAATCCATTTCTCTACATTGAAGAAATTCAAGAGGCTCTAAGAAATGATTTAAATCTTCAAAATCATGAGGTGCCGTCGTGCAGTGTAATTTGCAGAACATTACAGGAATTAGACTTGACAAGACATAAAGTTACAAAGGTAGCAGAAAAACGGTTWACTTAACTGAACATGGCTCGACGACAAGCTTTTATACGATGGAGGGCTACTATAGACCCACGGCGAATGTTCTTTTTGGACGAAACGGCGTTCCAGATGAAGGACGAAGTAAGAGAGGTGTGGAGATGCCACACAAATGAAGTGTTACCGTTAGTAACCCCGAAAGGTGATGCTAGGGAAAAGATGTCAGTACTCGTTTTGKTCTGTTACAATGATGGTGTGCTCTCTGTTTATCCAAATTATGGCAGTTTTAATAGATTATCTTTTAATTATGGTCTTCAAAACTTTTTATTACCTCTTATCCCTCCRCATTCTTATGTAGCCATGGATAATGCATCCGTTCACAATGAACAAGACATTATTAATATTTTAACTMCAATTAATTCAACACTTGTTAAATTACCTACTTATTCGCCTGATTTGAATYCTGTAGAAATGGTCAATGGAGTAGCCAAAGTATTTTGTAAACGTAATCAGGGCTTACTCCGCCAAAATATGCCTTTTGCAATTGTTCATYCCTTTTCTCAAGTAACTTCTCAGGCTGTACAAAGATTTTATAGAAAAAGTTAGCAGATTTTTGTGTGATTTGTATGACACAAACTCAAAYACGTTTTTTGAGTTACAGATTTTACAATTTTTTAAATTAAAAATATCTATGCAAGTGAAGTTTTCGACTGCTTTTTTATAAAATCCTTTGAGAACCGATTTTTCAGTTGTCATTCAGGTAGCACAGAAATCAAASAGTTACTTTCAAAAGAATATGGAATATACATAACAGAATTATTTGGTATATTATGATATCAGTCAATTTTTATACAATTTTTGGAGAAAAAGCTTGTAGATTATTGCAAATGATGTGAATTTGACCATGAGGAGTGTGATATATAAAATTAATAAATATTTAGTTTCACCAATCCATCACATTCAAATGAAAAAGGCTTGATCACAATTATGTCACATTGCCATTTGCTAGGAAGTTACAATAGTACTGTATTMATTGTATTGATTTTGATTCTTTTCGACACATATGAATAAATATATAGTTACTCACTATTAAATTAGATTATTAATAATATTGCTTCCTGCTTTTACCTGTCACCTTATGTCAGTACGCCAGCTACACTGAGCTGTTCAACAGAATGGGCTAGAAAGGGTCTGAGGTTGGATTAATAAGATCTAAATATTGGGAGAATATTTGGAAGACAGGTTGAGGCATAGTATTCTTGTATAATATTGTAAATTGATGTCTTTGCTATTTTTTATATTTTTAAAACAAGCAACCAGAGTTGTTATATTCCTGATTTGGAGGAGGATCTGGGTAACAGGGAATTGGACTCAGTCCCACTCATTCCTAATAACTTGCATGTTCAAGGATTAAGGGTAACTTGTACAGCAGAACAAATCTCATCATCTATGTCACAAATGCTAGAATTACAAGGAGGAAAATAGCTTATCAAAGAAATATTTGGCAGTAAGTATATGSAGAATGTCAATGAATTACCAAACTTGAGTTTCTTATACTTATATAAGTGCTCTCTTTCACACTTGACTGAGTGCAATATTGAATGCTAGCAAATGTGATACAAGCTTAAGCTAATATTAATCAAGCAAGGACCAGTTATTATAACATGATTTTTACTTTTAAATTTGGGAAATGTTTTTTAAATAGCTGCTTTTTGTTAATAAGTAGCCACATTCTAAAATATTAAAGGTAAACAAAAATACACTAACAAAATAATAAAAGATAAATAAGTTAGTATATAATGATGAGAAATTATTTACAAAATATTTACATTCATTCAAATAAGTTAAAACATGATCTTGAAAAGTTATAGAGTGAATGTCAATGAAACCCGTRAAATATATATTTGACTAAATACATGTTATTACTGAAAAATATTACTCAGCTATTTGCTAAGACCGTCATTGAATGTTATCAGTTACTGTTAAACTGCATTGTGATAAGAAAATGAAGAGCATTCATTAAAACAGTTTTCTCCAGCTGGAAATTCTCAATCATGTTTAGAGAGTAATAGTTTAGTTGTGCAATGAAGATTAATTAACTTGTTTTAAAATAGGCTACAGAAAAACTTATGATAATTGAACACAGTAACGACAATATACTATACAAAAGATCAGAACTCATCTCTAAATGCCGACACGAAAACAAATTCTACCTGAAGAACACTTGACACCTCTACAGCCTATTGTATTGACACCTACGCGGTTTTTATTAATAGTATACTCTCCTTTGAAATTTTTACCTTCACACCTATTGTCTAGCAT